TAACGCTTCCCAAAACATGCATATGTATAAATGGGCTAAAATGCGTCGTTGGGAGGAATTTGGAGTTTCGTAATAATGCGTTTTAGCTAATCGAATATACCCAGAGGTGTTGCTAAAGTAGGGACGCATCACTTGCCCCTTGCAAATGTGGTTTTGGTCATGTGATGGAAAAAGATCTCAGGCGTTGACAGTAATATCTGGACGGGTCAGGTGCCAGTATTTGCAAAGACATCACAGAATGGCTGTAAATTCTCCAGTCTAAAGGGCACAGCGAGTGCCACCCTGGAGACAGACTAGACGTTAACAAAGCACAAGGCTTCCTTTGTTTGTTCTTTTCCAATCCATGATGTGTATGCATGTTGTCCTATAGGTTGAGTTTGAATAACACTTCCTGCCACTCCCCAGCCCGCCTTTTAGGTTTCTTTTTAAATGCTGGTGCTTCAGAGAGGCCTTCCCTGAGCAGCCCGTGGGCAGTACATAAAATACCTCCCATCACCATCATTCTTTATTGTTTTGTTTTTGTATTTTGGTAGTAGATACCACCCCTGATGTGATGAGTGTATGACACTGTGCCGTATATGTATACACACACACACAAATAATCTTTTTGTTGCTTGTCTCCCTAAGATAAGCTGGGACTTTGTTTTGTTCATTGCTGTTTGTTCAATGCAAGAGTGGTGTCTGGTAATAAATAAGTAAATAAATATTTGCCTTTTATAAATATGTATTGATCCTCAATAAATATTTTATTGAAGAATGAGTATACATCTCTGGCAACCACTTCAGTTTGATCGCCTCCACAGACAACAGCACACAAGTTCTCAAAATATCGCATTCTATGTTAAGAATCCATTTTCTCCACTTTCACTGAGCACCTCCTGTTTTCCAGGAGGTGTGATTCAAAGAATAAACTACATGGCGAAGTCAACAAGTGGTAAGGAGGCAAAAGCAGTTAACATTTGTACCTGCAAATGGGAAAAGATTCAGCATGATTGGGAGGCTGGATTTTATTGTTTCATAACATTTTGACTGCAATATTGAAGCATTAAGAGAGTAGTTCCCTTAACAATAGAGTTAATTCAGTTTCACCTTAGCCCAAATGATTACAACTTATTATGTTAAAAAGTTCGCTTAATGATTTTCCTTCTGTGAAATTTAAAATGAAAGAAGATTCTGATCATTTGTCTGTCCCCTTGGTCAGCAAGAGTAGCTGCAGTAGCTCTCTAGAGGAAGAAGGAAGCTTCAAAACTTACAAAGTGAGTTGGGGCCACCTTTCAGATGGCCCCAACCCTTGTGCAGGCCCTCTCTGAATGCAACCTGTGACAGAATGCACATGTGACTAAGGCTTGACAATCCCAGCTGCTTCAGCTCTTGGCTGGCTCTGCCAGGTGTGGTAATGTTTGTCCCATAGTGAGCTTCTTCAAGGCAAGGCTCAGTATCTATTTATTACTGTATTCTCAGAACCTGTTATAATGCCTGGCACACAACAAGCACTCAGTAAATGTTGAAATCCAAATCCTTTTTGTTCCCACAATTATCGTCCTAGTTCAAACCTTTATTGTCTCTCACCTTGTCTGTTGCAAGAACCTACTTAGTGGCCTTGGTCCAGTCTTCCTATCCCCAAGCATTGACCAAACAGCCAGCAAGATTAACTTTGTAAACACAAAAAGTATACTAAAGAACAGCCAGGGACTCCTTCATGGAGTCGTGAGGAACACATGAAGGCTTTTACCTTTCCTTCCGGTTTCACCCTCTTCTATTCCCACCCTTTTCCTATTTCCCCCAACCAGATGATGGGTGACAAATTCCTAGGTGCACTGAATTACCGTGAGTTCCTAAATATGCTTTGCACTCTTGAATGTTTGTCTTTAGGTAGATTAACCTCCATTTGGATACCTCCTACTCATCCTTCAAAACTCAGTTCAAACTGCACCTCCTCTGTGAAAACTTCCATAACTATCTTAGTCAAAACTCAACCTCGCCCACTCCTTTGCTCTAGGCCTTTCTTTAAATCTCCATTTTGATATTTAACTAATCTTTTTTTTTTTTTTTTTTTTTGAGACAGTCTCACTCTTTTGCCTGGGCTAGAGTGCCGTGGCATCAGCCTAGCTCACAGCAACCTCAAACTTCTGGGCTCAAGCGATCCTCCTGCCTCAGCCTCCCAAGTAGCTGGGGACTACAGGCATGTGCCTGTAGTTGTAGCCTATTTTTAGTTGTTTGGCTAACTTCTTTCTATTTATAGTGGAGATGGGGTCTCGCTCTTGCTCAGGCTGGTCTCGAACTCCTGAGCTCAAGCAATCCTCCTGCCTCGCCTCGGCTCCCAGAGCGCTAGGATTGCAGGCGTGAGCCACTGGGCCCGGCCGGTAGTTAACATCTTATTCCACAAATGTGCATGTGCAAGAAGTGATACTTATTATTATTCTCTGTCGTCAAGACTGACTTCAAACCACCTCCCCAAGTGCTGGTGGAAAGTAATCTCGGTCATTGTGGTCTTTCCTGCCCCACCCCCGCCCAGGCTCCTTTAGAATATTCACAAGAACCTGGGATTTCAGGAGAGCAGGGGTAGGACCCCTTCGTTCTCAGAATCTAATTGTCAGTGTCAAAGCCTGCTGCTTGCTCCTTGCCATCTCTGTCACTTTCTGGGTAGGAGTCTTTGCCGATGTGGGAGCTCAAGGCCCTAGGGACACCGTGTCCCCATCCCCTCTGGGGCTTTGCACACCTGTGACCCCACTGCCTTATTGCTTCTGCTTCTAATCCTTGCACCTCTCTCTCTCCTTTCCAATGTTAGAGAGGGTTACAGGGACCAGGTAGCAAACCTAAATGAGTGATGTGGGCATACAGAATGGTAGGGACCCAGGTGAACTGGACGTCATGGACCCTTTAAAAGGGACAGACGTTACTCAACTCCAACCAATAGTAGCCCGGTGAAAATGTAGGCCCAGTATTGGGAGATCATCTAAGTTTTCAGGAAAAGCTGAAATCTAGATTTTATGTGAACTCTACTTTCAAAAGGTTGGCAACTATTTTTAAAGACTTCAAAACACTATTCATTGTAAATGAAATATGTCTATGAAAGTATTATTCAGCCTGGAGAAGGCTACTTTGAGACCACTGCTTTAAAGACGGAAGAAAAAAAAAAAAAGGCAGGGGTGCTGGCAGGAGGTTTCCATCAAAACTCCCCTGAAGCAAGTAGTCCCAGAGCCATTCTCGAAAATAGGTGGAGGGAAAAATGCAATAAGAACAGACACAGGTTAATGTCTCAGGAAATTATCCTGTCACGTTGAAACTCTTCCAGTTGTATTGTAATTAATTGGGTACGGCTATGGACGTCCTAACGCTGCTGTCCCGAAGACTGGCACCAGCCTGTGCTTGGCCCTTGTTGTTGCCTGTCAGACTGTTTACTTGTTTTTAGCTCCTTCTCAAATTTCCTTTATGACTCTCCCAGACCGCTCTCCCCCACTTACCCCAAGACTTCTGCTTATCTCCAGACTCCTCACTCTCAGAAAGACCCCTACTCTGCCCCATGGGGCAAAGTCTCCCTAACTCTCAATCCTTCCTACCTCCCTCCTCCTACACCCTCACTTCCCCGCCTACAGCTGCAGAGGGAAAAATGGCCCCCTCTTCCTGCTCCAAGCCAACGCTGCCATTTGTGCCATCACTAATGTATTAAAACTATCTGCTAAAGCTTCAATGCCCTCTTCATGTGGTCAGTCTGGATCTCTGTTAAGGGAGATCTGATGTTCATTCATCGCCGCATTCCTGGAGTCTAGTGCACTGCCTGGGGCACAGAAGAGGATCAGTAAACATTTATTGAGTAAATGCCTTTTTTTAATATCTAGGGGCATGCCAGTGCTTAAAAAAGTTTCTAGAGACGAGAGACAACTGTTGAAACCTGAGGCTTCATAGGCTATTGATCTAGAGAGAGTGGTTTCCCCTGACTCTGTGTGGGCTAAATTTGGAGGGGATAATCCAGGAGGGAATGTGGCTGGCAGGCTGGGGAGTTTCTCCCGGGTCAGGTCGGTGGCATCCAGCTGTGAGTTTGCTGTATGAATACCTCCGATCTGTCCTCTCTGGTTACTTCTGGGGAGACTGGCCTTCTGGTACTGGCTGAAGGGAGCAAGGGAACCTCCATGGCCATGTCACTTTGCTCTCTGTCCCCTTAGGTTTGTTTCTCCCATAAAGGCACCATTAGGAGATTGTCTTTTGGGGAAACACGGATAAGCACCAAGCCCTGTTACTTGTATTATTTCAAGGCATTTTTTTCCTCTTCTTTTTTCCTTCTGACTTTTAAACGTTAAAAAAGTGTTTTGATGCTATTTTAAAATCCATGTAAATCAGTTTATATTTATCTTTAATCCTACTCTCATGTTTTAAACAAGTATCTCATATCCTGTTTTATTTCTTACCTTATTACCCTGTTGACTTATTTAGAATATCTGTTTTAAATTATTTCATAACTGAGTCTACCTCATTTTAATTTTAACCTTAGGTATTTTAAACTTCCAGTTTTCTTTTTAAATTTGTCTCCTGATAATGATCTAACACTTATTTTCTAATCTTTATTCAGCTTATCTTATAGCCCATATTGTACTTCTGTTTGAGTTTTTTAAAAAAAAATAATTCTCCTGGCTTACTATTCCTTTAAGATTTTTAAGTTCTTATTTCTTAATGTATAGCTTTAACTTGGTTTAAAGTCCTCTAGTGTCATTTAGCATCACATTTTAATCTTTTATTCTCTCTTCCTTTTTGACACCATTACTTTTCTATTTTTTCTCTTATTCGTGAATCTGTCAATCAGTCTAGTTCAAATCAGGAAACCTTCTCTGCCCCTGCCTTCTTTCTCCCAGCCCCAACTATAACTACATTTTTTTCTTGCATTAATGTTGGTTTTGGACACAACATCCTATAAATCTTTATTTTCATATCATATGGTTTGAAATCCATAATCTGTAATTGTTTTCACTAACTTCTTTTGGTTGCAAGGAACAAACTCATTCAAATAACCGCAAGTGATGGACATTTTATTGTAACATGTACAAATAAAGAAAACCAGCATCTCAGCCACTGGGTAGGCCATCCTGTCAGTCCTATGGGACATCCTCAGGAAGAAAGAGCTGCAGCTCTGGTGGAGTTGAGCCTCAGAGGCCTTAGAAGCAAAAAATAAAATAAAATAAAATAAGAGTTCAGAAGCAAATGTAGTATCAATGTGGAAATCTTTATTCTATACCTTGTTGCCACATGTAACCTAACTATATGCGGATTTCAAAGATAAGAAGAGAATCACATGAACATCCAGGAATAGGAAGCAATCCCCCCCGCAAGGGAAACACCAGCAGGGAGCCCCACATTCCTCCATAGCAATTTTTGCTACAGAAGACAGAGGAGCAAGGCTGAGGCTGTTGATACTCACAAATGTGGTCCGTGAACCAACCAGCAAGCATGAGCTTGTCAGAAACACAGACACTCAGTTGCCACTCCAGATGTATTGAATCAGAATCTTCATTTTGACCAGATGTACAGATGATTCCTGTGCACATTAAGGTTTGAAAAGCACCAGTCCATATAGTCCCGAGGGAAAGAAAACTGTGATGCAATTTTTAAAAACCCACCCAAGGAGTTTCTCTAGTATAAAGGCAACAAATTAACATTCTCAAAGTTGAAAGAACTAAAGCGGTGGTTCTCAACCCAACCTGCTCTTTAAATTTGCTCACAACTTTCTTTGGTCTTTTTAATTTTTTTCCTAAGAGAACCTGTTCATGTAATTTCTTTGAGATTGAAGACATTAATTTGCATGTTAGACTCACTTGAGGAATCACACACTGTTAGATGGATTTTACCCTCAGAGAACCTGATTGAATTGGTCCGGGATGACAACCAAAGGCATTAGCTTTTCACAAGCTCCCAAGTCCATCACAATATGCAGCCAATGTTGAGAATCCTGGAATGGAGGGAAACCAAATCCATGAACCTTTCTTGAAAAAGTTACTGAAAGATGGACACCAGACAACAAAGAAATAAATCAAAATTAAGAAGTCGGAAATGAAGAAACTATGGTAAGAGGTAACAAATGAATCCATTTAAAAACAAACTACAGTGGCTGGGCACGGTGGCTCATGCCTGCAATCTTAGCATTCTGGGAGGCCGAGGCGGGCGGATTGTTTGAGCTCAGGAGTTCAAGACCAGCCTGAGCAAGAGCGAGACCTCATCTCTACTAAAAATAGAAAGAAATTAATTGGCCAACTAAAAATATATATAAAAAATTAGCTGGGCATGGTGGCATATACCTGTAGTCCCATCTACTTGGGAGGCTGAGGCAGGAGGATTGTTTGAGCCCAGGAGTTTGAGGTTGCTGTGAGCTAGGCTGATGCTATGGCACTCTAGCCCAGGCAAGAGTGAGACTCTGTCTCAAAAAAAATAATAAAATAAAAAACAAACTACCACTAAATAACTTGGAATTTTGGTTAAAAAATACGATTGGGGCTTTAGGAGGCAAATTTGTTTGCCTCATAAAGTTGTTGTCTACCTCCTAGATTTCTATTTATGTTTGGTACACGCCCTTGCTAGATCTGTTATTTTCTGGGTTTTACATCATTGGTTCTCTGGGTTTCAAAACTACTGATTCTTGCTCCGTGTTCCTTCTTTTACCCCCTTCACCCCTGACAGGCTTCCCCTCAACTGGGAGACCTGACAAGGGAGATTGTGACTTACCTTGGCAATCTGCTCTCAAACTGGGTTTCTAAAAGACAGCCAGAAACAGGGCTTAGGACAAGCCTAGTGCTATTGGATTAGAATTAGAGGGCTCGGTATGGATGGTCTCGGGATTTCATTGATATAATCTGCACAGCTCCCGTCTCTCCGGGGCCCTGCCTTGCAGACTCCAGCCCTTCAGTGCCCAACCTCTGATCTCTTCCTCCTCTGCTCAGAGGGACTGTCGTGCTCTGCTTGGATTCCGGTCGCTGCACTGCAGTCAGGAAAATTTCGCCAGGCAGAGAGCCAAGATTATCATGAGGTTTACTTCTTATATTTCTCTGTCTTCAGGGATCGATTGCAGTCTTGCGTCGCCTACTCTGCCTTGCATTGCTTGTTCTCCAGTGTCTGAAAACACTTGTCTTTGATATCTTGTCCATTTTTACCACTAAGGCAAGAAGGCTAGTACCAGATACTCCACCACAGACAAAAGTGGAAGTGGTGGGCTACATATTGAATAATAGTATTATATTACTGTTAAATTTCCTGAAATTGGTCATTGTCCTATGGTTATGAAACTACTGCTTGTTCTTAGTATATACATGATGAAGTATTTAGGATAAAGGGTTATGATGTCTGCAACTCACTCTCAAATGGTTCAGTCCAAAAAATAATATGAATAGCAACAATATGGATATGTATATTTCTAAAGGGAGCAAGAGAGATATTGATAAAGCATATATGGAAAATGTTATCAGTGGTGAATCTAGATGAAGTGTATATGAGGATTGGTTGTAGGATTTTTGTAACTTTTCTATAATTTTGAAATTTTTTCAAAATAAAGAATAAACTAAGCATCCTCTTGAGTGTGGACTGGGCTTAGTGACTCACTTCCAAAGGTTATAGTGGAAAAAGCTGGCAGACACCACCTTAACCGAGTGATATGATTCACATCACCAGTTAGATACATCATGTGGCTGTCATGTACCCACATGGATATTATGTGATGAGAAGGGCACTTCACCTCTGTGGTTTTCTCACTCGAATTTATAACGCAAATTAAGAACAAATGGGTGTCCTTAATATACCTTTCCTTAAATGCTTTTTCAAATTGGGTAAATATTAGCCATTTCATTTCTACCTAGATAAGTAGCATCTATCTCTAGAGAAATGAAGATGATATGTGTTTAGCAATTTTATTCTAATTTTATAATCCAGAGAAATTTATGACATTTTTCTAATACAGTGATTTTTCTTTTTATGTGTAGTCCTGTTTTGATATGCAAACCCCAGTGTTACTTACTGAATGCCGTTCATAACATTTGAGGAAGGAAGAAGGAAGAGGAAAACCTTAAAGTGTGAGAGGGATTCAACCTGCCTGGCTTTGAAGATGGAGGAATGGGGCCAGTGCCGATGAAGGTAGGAAGCTTCTAGAAGCTGGGAGCAGCTTCCAGCTGACAACAAGGAAGCAGGGACCTCAGGCCTACAAAAAAGCCTCCCTTAGAGCCTTTGGAAAGTAATGCAGACTGCTGTCACCTGGATTCTAGTTTGGTGTGAGCCACGCTGACTCTCTGGCCTGTAGAATTGTAAGGTAATGAGTCCATATTGTTTTATGCCACATGGAGTGGATATGGGAGTTCCTCCTATATATACTAAGCCATTAAGTTTGCGATTATTTGCAATGGCTGCAATAGAAAAGTAATACAGCAGGCTGCAGCAAAGACTTGAAGGAGGTGAGAGAGGGAGCCTGGAGGAGATCAGGGAAGAGCATTCCAGGCATAGAGAACGGAAGTGCAGAGGTCTTGTGCTGGGAGCATGTGAGCATGGCTGAAGAACAGTGAGGAGCCAGTATGTCTGATACAGAGTGAGCAAGGGATAGATTTGAAGGCAGCCATACCAGAACAAGAAGATTTGCCTTCCCTGTAGTAAAATCAGACTGACTGAACTTCCCTACCCAAGCTTGGAGGAAGATAGCCACCTTGACCTTTTTCCGATTGAGAAATGAGGTGCTCAGCCCACAGTCCACCAGTGCCTAACTCCATTCACCTGGATGGTGGTTTGGGAGCACGCTCGTTGTTTGGCTGCTTTACCAGGGAGGCCACCGTCCTATGTGTGGGCTCTGCCTGGCCATCCCCAAGGCTGCCCAGCTTCCAGGAGCCGCTTATCAGACCAGATGAGGTGGCTTGCCTTGGCTCTGGCCCCTTTGAAGGTCAGCATGCATGGCTATATCCTTCGTAACCAGTAATCTGTCAGATACCTGCTTTTTGGAGAACTGCCCTTCGGCAATTAGGATTCCTTTCCTGGAAGGCTGGTTCCAGCAAGAGCCCCGATGTGCTGGGTTTTCTAGTAGGATTCAGCGTCAGCCTGGAAGACATCTGGATTTTTCAATACTCGACTTGCCACATGCATGGTTTTAGCCATTTTATCTTTCCAGCTGTTGGGGAATATATATTTTGTCAGATCTAACGGTGGCTGGCCATGTCTGCATCTGTCAAGCTCCAAAGCACTGCTACCACGCAGCAGAGACCACGTTTCGGGAAATGTTTTCCTACAGTTCTATCTGGGTCTACGATAAAGTGGATGTGATTTGTCTTAACATTGACAGTTTCTGCCCAAGGCACATGCGCTTGGTTTGGAGTGAATGAGCCCTCTGCCTTTTCCCTCATGGGAGGGAGTGTGTGCTCTCCAGTTTGCACGGAGAACAAAGTCATCGAACTAGAATAGGACAAAAAGAACGCCGCTTAATTTGCATTTTCGAAATGTCCCCAAAAGTTCTCACTTGCAGTACTTCTGATGTGCTTGTTATTTATTGTTCCTGTTCTTGAAGTCGATGTTGAGGGTGGGTCATAGGGCCCTGGTTAATTATTACTTCGAGTATCCCCAGTACCTAGCACCGTGTCTGGCATTCAGTAAGTATTTTTAAAACTCATTCGCTCAACCATCCACTCATAAAGTGATATGGCCCTTCGCCAATTTTTATGTCTCTAAATAGGAAACAGGTAAAGTTTGGTGGAGCTCACCATTTATGATGTACTTGAGAGCAATATTGCACCTTTCACTTCATGGGTTGAAAATATTTTGGAGGGAGTTTTATCTCATGAGAATAATATATTCTCCATTGATTAAAAACTGATAGTAAATTAACTACAGAAACTTAAATAAGTTTTAAAAGTGAGCCTAAAGGGAGAAACTGATGAGACATTTTATCATGTTTTATAACTGAAAAAAAAGACAAAACAAAAACCAGTCTTCTAGATGGATACATTCAGTACTCTGTATGATTGCAGACATCAGCTGAGCTCTTAATACTTCCCCGTGAAATCTGCCAGTCTTATGAGACCGGGCAGCACAGTGTCTCAGGACCAACTCAGGGAAACAAACTCTGACAGGCATCTACACAGGTTATTCCCTTTCTTACACTGCACAGTTTCCTTTAGAGATTCTGCTGCCCTCCTGTCATCAGACCTTCCAAAATCCATAATAAGCAACAGGTTATTAGATAAAACTAGTGGAATAAGCCTGAAAATGACATTTCCCCCCAGAAGCAGAGATGTTTGTCCTCTAGGAGTATCTTAGTCAGCTCAGGGTGCTATAACAAAATACCATAAACTGAGTGGCTTAAACAACAAACATTTATTTCTCACAGTTCTGGAGGTTGGAGGTCCAAAACTAGGGGCCCAGCAGGGTTGGGTTCTTCATGAGGGATCTCTTCTGGTTGTAGACTGCCGACTTCTCATTGTATCTTCACATGGCAGAAGGAGGGTGAACCAGCTCTCTGGGGCTTCTTCTTATAAGGGCACTAATTCCATTCCTGAGCACCTCACCCTCATGTCCTAATTATCTCCCAAAGGCCTCATGTCTAAATACCATCACATTGTACTTCAATGTATGAATTTTAGGGAGACACAAATATTCAGCCCATAACAGGGAGGATAGAAGATCCTTATCTTTTGATCTTCTGGACCTTGGCATCTTGGACAGATGATATTTGCTTATTAAACCTGGGGGGGATCTCCATGTAGAGCTGAGTATTCTTGACATATTAGTTTAAGGACATTGCTTACATCCAAATGAACTCTCTCCAATGTTCATCTTCAACAGAGAAGACATACCCAGATTATGCAAATCCTACATGTGGTCTAGATTCTAAAGGTAATGTATCCAGACTGTGCAAATGCAGTAATTATGGTGCAAATTATCATCAAATAATTGTATTCATGTAAAAGCATTGTCAGGGAAGACAAAGCACAGGCAAAATAGGCTAAGGTCCTGACCACAGGACTCTGCCCCATTAAGCTTTGAGCTCAGCACAGATCACTCCATCCTGTTTGAGTATTCCTATTGTAAATTCTACTTAGAGTCAAAAGACCTGAAGTTCAAATCCTGGCTCCACCACCCAATTGCATAAACTTGGGAAAATCACTTATACATCTTTTTATCTGTTTCCTTATCTATATAATGGGGATGGTGATGAAATAAGGTCCACCTTAAAGTGTGTGGGGTTCAGAGCCTTGTGAGTGTTAAAGCCCTAAACAAACAATCTGTTGTAACTGGTTTCTAGGAGGCAATCTAGCAAAGAGGTCCAGACCATGGAATCTGAAATGGGACAGCCTGGTTTGAGCCTCACTCATCAGCTTTGTGACCTTAACCAAGTTACTTCTCTAAATTTGTGGTTTCTTGTCTGTAAAGAGGATGATTTTAATGAGCGTAGTATCCTCGTAGCATAGAGACAAGAATTATATGACATCGTCTAAAACCTCTTTCATGTCTTTTGGGGTGAGTTCAGTGGTCATGCAATACTGTGGAAAGACTAGAAGGAAGAAGGACAGGTGTAGAATCCCTTTGGCATCATGGGTCAGCATGCCCTAGTGGCACCAGGTTCGGTCTCAGGCTGCAGGGCTGTGTTCCCAGGCTATGCTGTATCTCTGTGAGATACAGTGGCCCCAATCTTCCTGCTCTCCCCAGACAATGGCACCAACCTTTGGTCATCACTCACTCACTTACCTGATAGGTTGTAAAACTAGTTTTCTTGGTATCTTGCCACCTAATCAGTTCTTATCTGTATTTTTTTTTCTGGGTCAGAGGATCATGAGTCTTGGGTTCGCTGTGGTCAGAGTCAATAGCTATGTATCAGGAAGTTGCTTTGCTAATGAGATAATTCAAAATTTCTTTGGGAACTTCAATCTGTTGCTAGGTAACAAACACCAGTGCCTGTATCTAGTAAAATCTATGCTGCTCTTCAATTTTTTCAGCTAGAGCAATTGAGAAATGTCTATTTAGGTCCTTTGCCCATTTTTAATGGGGTTTTTGTTTTCTTGCCGTTAAGTTGTTTCTCCATCAAATTAAATGGAAGTAGTGCCTCTAATCACGGAGACCACCCAAAACACCCCAGCAAATGTTCAAATGCCCCCTAGTGGATGGAAATGACTCAGTTGAGAATCACCATCCTGAAGGTTTGTGGTAAGATGAGATAAGAGAAACTTCTTCATTAAGTCTTGCCAGAGAGTCTGGCATTTACAACAGTGGTGTCTTAGCATATTTTTTCATGGAACTTCCAGTTATAAAATTTTTATTTGGAAAATTGTGTTAAAAAATAAGTATAATATTGCAAGCTATGTGTGAGCCAACACATCTGTAGGGCAATGCTATTTATCTTTGCACTAACTGAATAAATTTCCATACCTTTGCAAAAATAGCCATCTTCACAAATTACTATTTGTGAAGTCTAGGCTTCTAGATTCTTGTTCCTATTTAGGACATTCTGATTCTTCAATAACTCAAGCCGACTTGAGTGACCACGTTTGGATTCTGTGATGGTTTATTAATCCCTGGATTTGACAGTTCCCCTCTAAAATCTGCACTCTTCCTTCTCCACTCCCACTACTTCACTTGACCAGCCTTTAAATAAATACATAAAATCTTCACTCTTCCTTCTCCACTCCCACTGCTTCACTTGAGCAGCCTTTAAATAAATAGATAAATAAATAAAATCTGCACTTTTCATGAATTACAAAATTATTATCACTTGACAGCTATTTAGTGGCCTCAGTGAAATGAGTTCTTTCTTTTAATCAAATTTATAGTAGATAAAAATGACTAAGTACTACTAGACTGCACAGAGAAACTATATTTAACAAGATCTTTCAGACTATGTTACTTTGTCACTTCTGAAATGAGCCGTGGAGTGTGAGCAGATAAAACATGTTCACTGCTGTTTCTTTCTTGGCAAAGAAACAACTTACTTAAGTCTTTGGAGTAAGTGGCTCATCCTCTTTCAAAAACATTGCAGAAAAGTAAATTAATTTAAGTTATAAAGCAAACTTCTTAGATAATGTGTATCTCTTCATTTTCTCAGGGTCTCTTGGAGTAATTCGCCCTAACACTGAGGCTTTGGAGCCCCGGAAGGTTGATGGACGGTAGCTGCTGCCCCCTAGTGTAAGATGCCTTGTTACTGCAGACATAGGGTTGAAACAACCGGCCCTCCTCCCCTTGCACTGCTGAAGGAATGGGAAACAAATTAAAGTGCTTTGTTTAAATGATGCAGATAATTGAGAAAGTTATAGTATATTATTATTTCAGAATGAATAGCTAGAACACTTCTTTTGTAATTTCCTTCAGAAATAGTCATTTATTGTTTTTCTGTCATTACTTGAAGTTTAACTTTCTCATTATCATTTTCTACTTTTCCCACTTGAGGGGCTGGCTACATAATTTGCAGGACCCAGCCGTAAATGAAAATGTGATACCCTTTGTTCAACAAACGGGGAAAATGCCATTAAAGGTACTAAAATACTTTTCCTTTCCTTTTGTAGTCTTTCTCTCTTGTTATGGTGTTTTTTTACTTTGCTATTTAATGTCAACCTAAAGAAAAACGTTGAATTTTAATTATTAGTATAAATTTTACCATGCATCTTTATATTGTGTAATGCCAGTAAGAGCAACTATAACTTGCATTAGGTACAAACATAACTCGTGCTTCGGAATTACCAAAATTTGCATAAATTGTATTTTATCGCTAACATATGCATATATATTTCATTCTTACCAGAACAGTGGGAATGCTGCACAAAACTACTTCACCTGTTTTTATTTCACTTTTTTTTTTTTTTTTGAGACAGGATCTCACTTTTCTTGCCTGGGCATGAGGACAGTGGCATCTCACTTCTTGATTTGTGTGCATTCGATCAACACTCCCAACCCTCGGCTTGCTGATGAGTAAGGCAGCACTGTAAGGAAAAGGGACCATGGGGTGCCCTATCTTTCCCTTTCTTTCTATGTCAAAATGTTCAGCACAAGTGGTTGCCTGAGTAAGAAAGGAGGTAATAGATTTCTTAGAACAGCATTGTCTTCTGTGTTAGAAGCAAGTTTTGGTTCAAAAGGAAAGAGTGGCCTCTTGGGTTCTCGATGCTCCCTCTTGCTCAGTTGTAGATGTAACTTGCTCGCTTCATGTGTGCTTTGAGTCTCACTGGACTCCATTGCACTATGGGCTCCTGGAATTCTGTGCTCGTGACATGCCATGAATGCTGTAATATATGCAGATGGGAGGTAAGGCATGCAGACATGCATGTCACATATATGCATCTCTTCTACTCACACAGGCGATCCATTGTCCTAGCAGACTTCACTTATAAAACACAAATTCAAAAATGAAATTATTAAGGATTTCATGATGCTGACAGCAGAGTATTCAATCAAGCACCACGGCCCTTCTGAGTTCAGGGCCCTGTATAACTGCACAGGGTACATGTAATTCCACAAAAATACAACTAAAATCTGGTTTTGCTTGTTTAGGCTTCCATCAATTCCAAATAGAAATTTAATTCAGGCTCTTTGGAAAAATATGCAGCACTTTTCTTAGTGTACAGCCACTGGTCAGCAGTTACTCAGAGGCAGGGACGGCTCAGGTGGGATTCTGTTGGGAGAGCCCTGTGCTCGTGTCTTGGCCTCCAAGAGCACCCTGACTCGCACTCTGGTTTGAGAGCAGAGCCATCGTTTCGAGGTGGGGATAGAGGTTGTTAATGTAGAAATCATGTGAAAGTGTTTATTACATCAAATGGGGTGTGTACGTTTTAAAGGACTGGAAAACTGAAGGATGTTTGCTGAGAAGAAACCAGAAAGGTTTTCCGTCTCCTTAGCAGAAACATATGGCAAGAGGCAAAATTAAGTTCACTTCTAAAACTTGGTACTTAAGAGTAGACAAGTACTAGGGGTCCTTCAGCTTAACTTTCTGAAAAAGGTGTCTATGGCTGCTAGGAGGACTGATTTCTTGTTGAAAATTAATTTACCAAAGATTCAGTCAAGATGCATTTGCTCTGTGAGCGCTCAGTGAACAGGGGAGGAGGGAGTCTAAAGGTAGAAGGCGAAGTTCCTGCCTCCGGGACCCACCTGGTTTGGATGATCAGGACAATATCCATGAAATAATAAGAAAACAGTAGAAGATCCAATTTCATTTTCTTTTACTGGTTTAATAATAAATTTCTGTTTTATTCAATGTAGACAAAAAGAATTGGGAGGGAGTTAAACCACTTTATTGAGAGGAATTGGGGACAGGAACAAAGAAGGGTGTAGGATGATGAGATCCAATGTCTTCGGCCAGGCCAGGACCTCCCAGGCTTTGCAGAGGCTGAAAAGCTAGACAAAAATGTTTAAAGCCACATCTCAGTTTCCCGTGTCTTCTCAAAGGGAATCCTTAACCTTGTTTGAGCTTTTCTTGGTGACCAACACTAATTGGCGTTAGCCTGTTAGAATTTTAAAATTACTTCTTTTCTCCTCCCCTTTGTCCTCCTCCCGTGTGGGGGTTCGTTTTATGTGCCAGCTTGACTTTCTGGGTGTGTCTGTCAAGGAGTTTCTGGATGAGATTAGCATCCGAAGACTCATTAGCGTTTGGTAGGCTGAGCAAAGCAGAACATGCCCCCCAGTGTGGGTGGTGGACATCAGCCACGCTGTCAACAGCCTGGATGGAACAAAAAGGCGAAGAAGAGAGGATTTGTGATCTCTGCCTGACTGCTTGAGCTGAGACATTGAGCCTCTCCTGTGCTCAGCCTGGGACTTAACGCCATCAGTGCTCCTGGTTGTCACACCTTTGGACTCAGATCGGAATATGCACCCAGCTTTCCAGGGGCTCCAGCTTGCAGACGGCAGATTGTGAGACTTCTCAGTATTCATAGTCATGTGAGCCAATTCATTGTGATAGATCTCTCTCTGGAGATACAGGTATAGATACATATATTTATCTATGTCTGTCTTTCCATCCATCCATCCATCCATCCATCCATCCATCCATCCATCCATCCATCCATCCATCCAATCCATCCATCCATCCATCCATCCATCCATCCATCCATCCATCCTATTGATTCTATTATATTCCTCAGGAGGACCTTCACTAATACATCCTCCAATAAATTTTCTCTTTCCTGTTCTCTTCTCTGGGTGCAGGTCCTTCTCAGAATACTCAGAGTATCTTCCTCCCAGACCTCCACTCTCCATTTCTTCATCTGTCGCCTCAGCTCTGTTAATAACATCTGTGAATGAAATTTCTGTCTGTGTAGTTACCACTTCCAGAGCTTTTTATTCCTTTGTGTAGATCCATATTTCCAAGTGGTATCATTTTCTTTCTGCCTGCAGAAGTTTCTTTAACATTTCTTATAGTTCAGGTCTCTGATGATGAATGCTTTCAACTTTGTTTATTTCACCAAGGTTTTCAAAAGGTAATGATGATCTGCACCACCAGCCAGATGTGAGATTCATTTTTGACGAAGTGGGATTTTGTTCCACCGAGCTCGTGGCCTTTGACCAATCAGTTGGTCAGTCTGCCACCATGGATGCAAAGTAGACGCAGGTGGACATGTACTTGGTTTTCCTACCATGGAATCTTCAGTGGATTGTGCTTCATGCCTAATGGTCGTTATGAAGAAATAAAGTCCTGCCTCTCGACAGTTATTGAAAGCGCCATGTAACTGAACTGCAAGGCCAAAGCACAGACCTGTAAGAGTTAGAAAGAATACTAGAGTCGTGCAGCCCTAGCCCCGCTCTGCCTCTGCACATACAGCTTTCTTATTATACAGATGAGGAAGCTGAGGCAGTCGTGGAAGAATTGTGCTCATTTGCCGCATGTACCTAACAGATGCCATATTTTGTGTGCAAAGATTATGTCCCTTTGCCTTAGGTTATTTGTCCATGGCAGGGAGTGTAGATTCAGTAAGTTTGGGATAGAGCAGGAATAAAGAGGAGCTAGCAACACATCACCTTCTGAACATACAGGAACGTTTCCCCTTAGCCTGGGCTTACAAGGTCCAGGGTTTGTCTGTCTTTGCATTCATAGCAACTAGCAGAATGCCCGACACATAGTAAGTGCTTGACAAATGCTTTTTATTGTTAGGTGATAAATATCATAGGCTATTATTCCTGGTTAAGAGATTAATGCAAAAAATCTACAAAGTGAAAAAAAACATCTAAATTATAAATAAAGTTGGAAGGTGACAATGAAAGAAAATAATTTTTTTTTTAAATTTAAAAACGTGACCTTAATGACCATGTCATTGTCTTTCACAAAAGATCTATATGTAAAAACGTCGATCTCTGTTTAAGAGAAGACAGCAAATACAACAGAGCCACAACTATGACCACCAAAAAGCACAAAAGACAAGATGGGAAGTAAAACTAATGCATAAGACTTTAAAAAAACAAAAGCATCCCCCATGACAAAACACTGTGAGGATTAAAGAAAAAAAAAAGAAATATTTTAAAATTTAAAATAAAAAAATGAAATAAAAATTAAATAAGAAAACAAAAGCATTCAATATTAACAGAGAACAGTGACCTCAGAGTAAGCATAAGGTGCTACTTTTCAAAGCTGGGAGAAATTTTCAATACCATCCTGGCCAGTCCTTTATTTTACAGGCAATAATGCTGCAGCCCAGAGGAGTGAAATGGCTTTTCAAGGCCCCATGGCAAGTAGCAGAAAACTAGGCCTACAAGCTGGTCTATCTCCATCACAGCTCTGTCTACCCTTTAGCCTGCTTCAGATGTTTTCTCTTCCATGTGGGACGCCAAATAAAAATACAGACTTGGGGTAAAGATCCAGAACAAAGGCACAGCAAGAAGGTAACTGGTTGTATATACCCTGGGTTTTTCTTGAAGGTAAATTAAAAACAGGATATTAATATCCATCTCAGACCTTTCCCCCCAAAATTTGAAAGTCTTCCAAGCAACCCGAGTTTCTCAGTACTGATAGGCATTTTTTAGTGGAATTCAGTAGCATGAAAACAAATCCTAAACTTTAAACAGATGGCAATTTGTGGGCTGATTGCAGGTAATATTCACAATGTCACAAGAGCAAGCTCTGGTTTTATAGACCGAAGGAGCTTAACTCAGGGAGATTTCGAGACAACAGAGCCAAAACACAGTCCTCCTGCAGAGGGCATAGGATGACCAGCAGGGAGAGAGTGCCGCCGTGGTGCAGCGTGTAGCCCGGGAAGGGGAGACCCTTTTTTAAATCCTGCTCTATTACAGAACCGGACGATGCCGCAGCCCTTTGAGAAGCAGGAAAGATGTTCTCCACGCAAACTTTCCAGCTCTTTCGACACACACATTGTCTGTGCTGCAGACCCGTCTGAAGAATGTTATGCCTTTGCTAAATCAAATAAATGGTCATTAGAGGTTGAGGTTGAAATCCTATTGGGAATGCATTTTCTCTGAGTGATGACAATAGAACAAATAAGTCAAAGAGTCATTAAAAAGGACTTTCAGCCATTCTATCTTTTAAGAATTCACTTTGATGACATTGCAAGGTGAAGAAAGCTAAACTCTTTTCCATTTGGGCAAAAATGTGTTTATTCTGCTTAAATTAGAGATATTAAACCTAATGGATTTCAGAAGCAGTAATTAAATAAGAGGAAGCCGTGGGCATGGGAGGAGAGGGAGGTGGGCAGACACAGCAGATGGAGTGAGCACGCTGAGGGATGCAGCTCCAGGTGGGAGAAAGGAAATGGAGGCAAGGGACACCTGGGCTTTGGAAATGGACCCGGAGCTTGGCGTGGGCACATCAGAGGCTGACCTGGGGTTATATAACCCAGGTATCTGGGACAGAGATGGAGTGGCTACATTGGGAATGGGAGGTGATTCCGAATGAACTGAGTCCACTGGAGAAATACAAATACTGTATGTCTCCAACCTGACAGTCCATGACATCCATGAAGGTGGAGAGGTGGAGGAGTCCATGAAGGAGGAGAGGTGAGGGGTCACAGTTTTAAATGCTTCAGTATCTGGTTCTCCACCTTATGAGGCTAAGGCCACAGGCCACATGTTAAGACCCTCTGCAAACAGGTGGAGTTCTTCCAAGTAGTGCCAGTGCATATCCATGCAGTATGTACTGAGCATTGGCAAACAAGCAGAGGAGGCCAAGTTAGAAGGGACCAGGTCATAGCACTATGTCATTGTCCCTGTGCCTGCTTCTCCCTCACTGCCTGCTCTAGCACCAGTGCTACTGCCAGGAGGCTGAAGTCTAGGAGAGAGAAGAGGAGGCCGCCTGGAGTGGAGGATTGGCTATGGAGCCAGTGAGAGCAGATTCACATTTCCGTTATATCCCTTGTTAGTGGTTTGACTTGGGCAAGGAGTCTTCGTCTTCTGATATGCAAGAGGAGATTCATTCATTCATCTTTTCATTCCACTTCTATTGATCAAAGGCATATTATGTACCAGGGCCCGTGATAGATACTGGGAATTGAGGGGTGAACAGAACAGACATGGATCCTACCCTTGTGGTGCTTACAGCATAGCGAAGATAGATATTAAATGATCAGACGAATCACTGTATAATTATGATAACTATGCGATAGAAAGCAAAGGATGTTATCCTGTGAAGGGGGGAAGGAAGGGTGGATGGCGGGTAAAGTTGTTTTTAGCTAAAAGCAGTGGGGCAGGTGTAAGGATTGGAGGCACCTGGTCTCTCCAAGCAGGAGCACGAGCTGGAGGGAGGAGGTCTGCCCAGCCACGCCCAGTGGGGAGCCTGGATCCCCATCCTAGTGAGATGTATTTCTTCATTCTAACTACCTCTTAATTGTTTTCTGGGTATATGGTATATTGGTATATTGCATGATCTCATTTGTATGTGGAATCTTTAAAAAAAAAAAAGTCCAACACATAGAAAACAGTAAAATGGTGATTACAGGGTAGGGGATGGGAAGATAGATATAGGTCAAAGTGTATAAAATTGCAGTATATAGGATAATTAAGTTTAAGAAGTCTAATGTACAACATGAGGACTATAGTCAACAATATTGTATTGTCTGCTAGGAATTTGCCAAGACAGTAGATTTTAGGTATTCTTACCAGAAATAAAAAAAAAAAAGAAAAGAAAAAGTAAATGAAAGATAACCATATGCAATAAAGGGTATGTTAATCTGCTTGACTGGAGTAATCACTTCACTATGTATATCAAGATCAATATATCAAATTGTGTTGTACACCTTAAATATATACAATAAAAATTGATATAAAAAGTGGAAATGGTGTTTAATGTCATACTTTGGAGAATCTTAAATGGTTGTGTGGGAAATCTGTATTTAAAAATACACAGTGGAGCAGCATTAAAAGTACATAACAGAAGAATGCCAAAAGATTAATTTCTGGATAGGGGCTGAGAAGAAGATGTAAGAGGCATAATTTCTTCCAAAAGATTAAATTAGATATTCTTTCTGGGGAAAGAAAAAAGAGATAATCTCATTCTAAAACACCTGGTATAATGTTTGACTAAATTTATGGGCACTCTGTGGACCAGTCAAGTTGACACATAAAATTAACCATCACAGGTGTGTGTGTGTGTGTGTGTGTGTACACACACATATATAAGATGCATAATATTTAGATTAGAATTCACATAATAGCAGCCAAATAATACAGCCTTTATTCTACTGAGTACCACCAGATTCTCCACTACGAGTCTCAAGCAAACCACTAGGGTTGCTACGTTGCTACTGCTATTTGACCACTTCCCTCTTGCCAGGACTTCTGATGCCAAATACACTCATAAGATTTAGAGAAAACTGTTGGTGGTGGATCAACTCTTCACAGGGTGCTCTCTAAGCAAATACTCACGGAGGGCTTGCCTCTGCCGTGTGGTAAATGGAGCTTGAGGTGGAAGTCTGGGCAAGTTCTTGAAAATCTGTTTTATAGGAACCAGTTCATTCATATTTAATTATTATAATACACCATAACTGGCTTATGGTTGCCTTGACAGTTTCTTCTTTTTTAAAAATAAATGTTTTATTGTATATAT